GCTGCTACCTTCGAGCGATCACCAGTGTCGATCACAAGCCACTTGACATTCAGATCCAGAGGGAAGGGGGTCTCGAGACCAGCTTGATCTTCCTCTGGGAGCCCGCGACCGACTAAGAGGAGGCTGGTAAAGTTTTTCTAATTAGGGAGAGTTATGATGTAATACACAGGGACCTGCTGATCTGAATCCTTTGTACTCATTGGGAGACCTTCACTTGGGCAGCCATGGAGATGATCGTAGTTTCGATAGATGTTGTGTGTCTGTTGGCATCAATTTTTGATGTCACTAGTGTAGGGTGTTCACTTGCATAGCTCAAGATAGTCTACGGTTTGTCTCCATTTAAATATAGCTTCCTATCTACATCGAGGAAGAATCCGACCATCATCTCTCCTACTTGAGGAAGGTATCATCTTTACAAACGAGGATGTCGTCAAACATTGCATAGGTGATACACTTGTTCCCTTTAATTTTCTTTTCCTTAGCTAGCCTTAGAATTGTGTTAAGAAAATGATTAGTGCTCGGTTGTTGTTTTCTTAGGGAAAGCCACTATAATAGGGTTCCTTTGTGGATAATCTCCTACATATTCGAATAACTTTGCTTGTAATAGCCTTAGTCCAAACCCTAAACGACGGAATCTTCTTTCCCTAGTTTCCCTAGTTTTAGAGGTTCCAACCTTCACTGAAGAGGTTGAAACACTTGGGATTTGAAGGATGAAAAAAGCTTTGTATCTAGTTCATCATACAAATGATCCATAATTTCTCCTTCGAGGAATCAGAGGCTAAAATTTCCTACAACCTTCAGCAAAGCTGGAGGCGGCTATGCCACACATCCATGCATTGCAACTTAGGTACCTATGTTAGAGTGTTAGGATGGGTATGGCTCATTATCGGGCATTAGCATTTGCATTGCATCGTACTCTTTGCATGATGAATGTCTCTGCATTTTTCATCATGCATGTAACGTGTTGGTCCAACCGGTAGCCTCGGGTCAGTCGACAGACCAATTAGGTCTGACTAGCCACCCTGGCCCTGTTGAGTGACCGACCATTTATGTCTGACTAGTCGCCCTAGCCTGATTGACCGACCACTTAGGTCCAACTTCTATCTCAGTCAAGTTAACCGATCACTTTGGTTCAGTTGGCCTCCCTGGTCCGGTAAACCCCATTGACCATGACACTTGGTTGACCCCCTCGATTGACTCGAGGGGGTGAATGGTGGCTAGCAATGCTAGTCTGTAGGTGTGTGAATTTCTTATACAGAGGACATACCGCCACATCTCTTGTGGTGTCATACTTGAATGCCACAACCCTTTTTCACGTTGTATGCTCGATTTTGGTTATGCCTCAGAGCCTTTCTACCCATTGAGTGTACAACATATCTGCATTTGAGTTCTGTCATTTGTGTGTTGCCCGATGATCTTCATCATGTTTGCCGAAACTCTGTTTGAGTAACCACAATGTTGAACTTTATGTTGTGCCTACTTGCATTTGCATTTGCATTTAGTGAGTCAAATTCGGTAGGTGAGTGACCCTGTGTCAATCGCGATGCTTTAACAATCATCATTTGTTGGGTAGCTCACGAAGAACAATGTAAGTCAAAGCATCAGGATCAACACATGTATGATTATGCTAAGGGTCCAAGAGATCTAACTTATGTCATCTTGCATGTTATAGATCTACATTTAATGACCCTATTTTAAAATAATAAAAAAATTAATTTTTTTTCTTCTTATGATATCCATCATAATTGTAAAATTATGCAAATAGCGAACTAGGTCATTTGCAAGGCCAACTCTCTTTAAAATCCATCTTGGGTGTTATTTGTTAGATCCCTTAGATCTTTAGGATGGGGCCGGTGTGACGACCCTACTAAGTCATACATGCCCAGAGACTTTACCTTATACACTTAGATGATGATTAGGACTTTTTTTGTTATATGGTGTGCTAGGCTAGGATTAGGATGTTAGGTAGTCTCTTTTGATGTCTGACTATTGTTCTTTGCCGGTTTGGTTGCCTTAGTCAAAACATCACTTTGCTTGTGCATTTATGTGTTTACTGAGTGTGAACATGTGCAATAGTGTATTAGGTTGATCTTCTTGTTGAGAGTCATTCCTAAATACACACACATTGAGTTTTAATAAGGGTGATCAATGTCTTAATTTATATGCAAATCCTTTCTTGCAGGTGCTGCTATAAGCTCCTCTCTACAGACATGGCTCATATGTGTTGCAAGTTAACCAGTTCAAGGGCATATATTTATCCGGTTGGCTCCTGCAAGCCGGGAGAGAAATAGTCCTGAAACAGATAGAAGTCTGTCATTCTCTGAAAGAGTTATTGGCACAAATCTCATGTGGACAAATCCCCCATTGTTCCTCAATCTAAAGCAGAAAGCGAGGAGCTCCCAGTCCACCCTCGGTCATAGTCGCCCGAGTAATGACCAGGTCGGTCATTTCCTCATATTCCCGGTGTGTGACAACCCGACTCAAAATACAGTCGGGCGCCATCTCAAGCTCCCAGCCTTGTAATTATGTATTAACCAAAAATATCCCCTGTTGTGCCTACTTTATTAGGGGTACATAATATAATCTTACAACCCACATTCATATAAATAAGGACTCATATTACGAATAAAAGTTAAACGATTTTACTCTTCATCACGATACTCTCTCAGCTCTTTTCCTCCCTTTCTCGCTCTATCCCTTAGGCGTGTCTCCCGGACAAATTTTGAATTCATCATCATCATTCACTACTGTCGTCATACTTCAATGAATTCAATATGCATCATAATAATAAAATAACATTTTGATGTATTTCATCTCGAAAATAATTTATATATTTTTAAAACACATGTACTTTACTCAAATTGCTTGTAGCAAAGACCACTTGATAAAAGTTAGGTGCAATAGCTTCATGATATGAAAATAGGGATTGTGCACAAGTTCTACACTTCAACTAGTAAAGTACAATTTACTTTAAAACCAAATATCTAATGAATAAAGGTCTTGTCATTGTGTTGAATTTGAATTAGTCTAATTATATTTAAAATTAAATTTTTGTTTGTAATATGACTCAACTTTGGAATTAAATCGAATAAATACATTTAATTTTTTAAATATTCTCTTATAGTTAATTACTCACTATTGACATGAACATACTCCAAATATATTTATAAAAATGTATTATAAAATATATTAACTATAAATGCTTAAATTGGCTAATTGTATTATTATGTGTTTGGTTTAAACACACTTAGGGTGCGTTTCAGGATAAGCAGCTTATCCTGAAACGCGGCTGGGCGGGCCGCAGGATTCTGCCCGCGACTAGCATTTAGTGTAAAAACTCAAATGCGGTTTTGGATAAGCTCACGAAACGCGCAAACTAAATGGTACGACGGCATTTTAAAAACGCACTTATAAACTACCTCAAACGGGCCCTTAAACTCAAATTTTACTGTTCTAAGTATCGGTAAGTTTCTAATATAAATAGACTTTCAAAATTTAAAATAATTTTTGAATACATATTTTATCAAATTAACTTGCACAGCAAGCAAAAATATATATAAAAAAAAACTTATTTCATTTGAATTTGAAGTGCTTTGCTCATTAATGTTATCGAAACAAAATCAAACGTCAGACTTTTTTACTGTATATATTAAAGTCCTCGGACGGAGACCGGTTAATAATTATAAGAAAATTATAAGTCGTGTCTTAATATAATTTCTCATGTAAATGTTGGACCCTAATTTATCTTTGTAGAGAGAATCAAGGGAAAAGATCTCTTTATTCATATTTGTGTCCCGTAGTACTTAAAGAGACATGTTTTATATAATTACAGGAATGAGGGAACGATTATGAAAACTGTTCTTAATGCTATTAAGGTTTTGATTGATTGTATAGATTTTAGGTCTTATTTGTGTTACAATTTGAATAACATTGACGGTAATTGTTGGTCGGCTGGTTTGAAGTGTCATATGTGTTCTCTAGAATGCACGTTGGTCGGATGAGGTGTTCAGCCGTATGGTGATCTTGCTCAGTGTCTTTTGACACGATCTGCCAGAGTGGTCGGTTGTTAGGTGGTTGTTCGGTCCGGATATAGGGTTTGTTGGTCGAATGTGATATGCCGACTTTTTTCTTAATGTTTATTTCCCGTTCGAATTGAGTCTTATAGGGCCCTTGTCTCGCCTGCCTGGTTGGTTCGTCGTCTCGACCAGATCTCATAATCTTACAAAGTCTTAAACGGATCTTATCGCAGCCAACACATGATATCTGATTCATGCCTTTTTTTTGGTAGGTCTTACCACTGCCGAGCAGGAAATCATCTTTCGAGCTTGAACCTATCCCAGACTTTGGAGACGCGACTTTATACTCTGTCTTGAATCGTCGGTTGATTGCTTATCTTGAAAAGAGACATGTAATCTTGGTTGTTCGTTCTTTTTGAGATTCGTGATGGTGTTTTTGGTATATACAGAAAAAAAAAAGTTTTAGTGTTAGATAAATAAATATATAAATTTTGAATGGTTTGTATGTAAATGCTCACTTCCCCTAATTTTTTTTAAGTATAGATATTCATATAAGATGAGGATTTTATATTTCGAAAATTTTAAGTAGTCATGGCTACTCAATAATTTTAAGAAAATAATAATAAATATAATTTCTATAATAAACGAACCGGCCGCATTCATACGTGAGCAATTACACCACACTCAACGAACCGGCCTCCGAGGCTCCACGTCTGCCGGTCCACCCACCCACGCCGGCCATTTTCACCGTACGGCAAGCGACCCACTCGTTAAAATCCGCACCTACGGACCAGATCTCTCATATTACCCATCGGACGGTCTCACAACACATACCCGCATGCGCTCCTCACCCACCGTTACGGCGTTCCTTACCTACCTAAAATAGGTCTATCGCCGTTAAAACTAACGGCGTTCATTCACACCCACCCCCACCTAATCTTCCCTCCATAAAAGCCCCTCAGTCTTCTTCCTCCCACCAAAATCAGCTGCGAAAACACTCGACTCATATCTTCACGCCATGGATCTGTTAATGCTCGAGAAAGCTCTCCTCGGTCTGTTCGCGGCGGTGATGCTAGCCATTGTTTCCTCGACGCTTCGAGGTAAGCGATTCAAGCTTCCTCCGGGGCCACTACCCGTGCCGATCTTCGGCAACTGGCTCCAGGTCGGCGATGATCTGAACCATCGAAATCTCACCGCCTTCGCTAAGAAGTTCGGAGACATCTTCCTACTAAGAATGGGCCAGCGAAACCTTGTCGTAGTCTCGTCCCCTGATCTGGCCCGCGAGGTACTCCACACTCAGGGCGTCGAGTTCGGATCCCGCACCCGTAACGTCGTGTTCGATATCTTCACTGGTAAAGGGCAGGATATGGTTTTTACTGTTTATGGAGAGCACTGGCGTAAGATGCGCCGGATCATGACGGTCCCTTTCTTCACTAACAAGGTCGTGCAGCAGTATCGATTCGGGTGGGAGGATGAGGCCGCGCGCGTCGTGGAGGACGTGCGGGCAAATCCAAAGTCGGCGACGGAAGGGATCGTGATCCGGAACAGGTTGCAGTTGATGATGTATAATAATATGTATCGGATTATGTTCGATCGGAGATTCGAGAGCGAGGAGGATCCAATGTTCCTCAAGCTGAGGGCGCTTAATGGAGAGCGAAGCCGCCTCGCGCAGAGCTTTGAGTATAATTACGGCGATTTCATCCCCATTCTTCGGCCTTTCTTGAGAGGATATCTCAAGATCTGCAAGGAGGTTAAGGATAGGCGTATTAGCCTTTTCAAGAGCTATTTCGTTGAGGAGCGGAAGTGAGTCGTTTTTCCCCCTTCCCAGTTTACTTTTCAAATGGATTTTATGTGAATCATTTTATTGATCTGGTTTTATAAATTATGTGAGCTACAGGAAGCTGTCTAGCACGAAGCCGACGGACAACGCTGGGCTAAAGTGCGCTATCGATCACATCCTTGATGCTGAGAAGAAGGGCGAGATCAATGAGGATAACGTGCTCTACATCGTTGAGAACATCAACGTTGCTGGTATTTTTTACAGCTTTCTTTTGCCTTTTGAATTTTTAATATAATTCGTTGGCCGATATTTTACTGGCTTTATGCTTTGGGCTATTCAAGTATAATTATAATAATAATATTATTATTTTCAACCATTGTGGTACAGTCGAGCACTTGCCAAGTTCTTAAAAAACAGTCGTGTGGACTATTCTAGAACTTGAGCTGGTTCTAATAGATTGTCAGACTTTCTGTTGAGTTATAGGTTATTATATGCCTTACAAGACCTTGAAGATTAATTAATTAATTGATTTTGAAATTATTTATGGCTTAGTCAGAATTTTTTTAGTATAATAACTATTCAAAGGTTTAGGCTTTTTTAGTTAAATTGATTAATTTGAATAATTAGTTTCTATTCGATCATAAATTACTGTCTTAGGCTAAGCTAAATCATGTTTTAGTTTGACTCATTAATCATTAATTATCCTAATAAAATTAATTTAATATAAATTGCATTTTTCTTCTTAAACTATTTTCTTACAGTTGAGAGCTAAAGCATTGAATCAATCGAGTTTTAATCATTAAATCCTTGGTATGATTCGATTTACTTGTGCAACATTCAATGTAGGAGGACGTGTCCCCACAAAATTTTTATGTCTTTTATGTCCGTGTGAATAACCTACAAAATTTTAAGAGGGATTACATACCATAAAATTTTTATGTATTTACATATTTAAAATTTGAATTTTGATATTTATTTTTATGACATTTTTAGTGTAATAATTATATCAAAACTTACGGATGCAAATGTAATTTCACTTAAAAAAATAATATTAGTGATATTTTCTATAGTATAATAAAAATTTAGGTGTTATCTAAATAAATGCTTAATAGATAAAGTTGTAAAGGAAATTCATATAGATGTTATAAGCTTTTGGCTTCTAGTGATAAATGACCAGCACAAGAATATAACCTAAAGATAGAATAAAGAACACGAGTACAAAAGATAGAAATAGCTTTGATCATTATTACAGAGAACAGTTCAGCCTTTATATAGAAATGAAGTAGAATATAAAGAGCACGCGGAACACAATAACTAACATATGCCATACAATAGGTGCTGACATACAGGGCTGTCAAGGCGGCACGTTGTTCGCGACCAGCTCTTTTTCGGCTCCTTGATAAACTTGTGTTCGGCTTTAGTGAACGAGCCGAACACAAACAAATATTTGTTCATTTGTGTTCGGCTCGAAATATTATTAATCAATTATATATATATATATATATCTTTGATGAGTAGTATTTTAAAAAAAATTAATTGTCTACAAAGATTTATAATCAATTAAAAGTATTAATTAAGAAAATAGAAAAAATTATATTAGATTCAAATGATCAAATGATGTTTTAAATCTTGTCCCAATCTTTAACGTCTTATGGCTACATGATTAGGGTTGTAAAAATGACCCTTTGTTTGTTAAAGGCTTGTGTTCTGCTCGCTAAGCAAACGAGTCGAACACGAAAACACTTTGAGTTCGAAATATAAACGAGGTTCGCTCGTGTTCGGCTCATTTACACCCCTACTCCCCTATTGACAGATTTAACTCTCAAGCTTTGATATTCTTATATATAATATATATTAGTGTCATAATAATATTGAAACATAACAAGAAAAATATCTATTTCACGTTGTTGAATATTTCTATATTATATGAGTAAATATCAAAACTTAGAAAAGTAATGCAGAAAAAAGTGTGGTTAATATATCCATGATATTTATGGTAAGTCTGCCAAAATTTCAATTTGTGCACTCTCTAAATAATAAAGAAAGTTAATTTTAATGCCAAATCTAAGGCCAAACTAACCAAAATGATAATTTTATAATATATATATATATATATACAATGAAAGGTCCAAAAAAAAAAAAAATCTAACGTCCCATAACAAATATTTATATTAGAAAGTGATTTATATGAAATCTTCCTTTTCTTCTAGTAAATCCGTCCTTCATCGACCGGTCAATAGCTAGTTGAGCGGTCGGTGAGAGCCCTCCTAGTGGTTATGGATCACCTACCAAGTTTATCCAAAATTATTTTTTTTTTTTAAATCCAGTTGTTGGTTAAATTAGGTGCCATAGAAAAAAAAAATCCATTTTTTCCAAATTCATGCCATTTTATTACTTATTTAAGTAGAATAATTATAATAATAACTTTAAATGCAAATGTATGACATGTTTTCAATTTGTTTAATTCATCTATAACATTTATTATTATTATTATTATTATTATTATTATTATTATAAAAATATAACAAAAATTAGTCCCATAATATAGCTTGATTAATGCAAAAGCAAACATTCCATCTATGAACTTTGGGAGCAAGTGATTGATTGTTGGTTTGGTGAATTCGGATTTTCAACTTAATCATTTAAGAAAGAATGGCAGCTCGGTTAGGTGAGCCAAATCTTTTATAATTAATAATAATGCAACAAACTATCTAAATTATAGCCTAATTACTTTTTTTTTGAAATAATTAGGATCGGTTCATCTATTAATAAATAAATAAATAATTTCATCAGAGAGAGTGCATGATTGGGAAGATGTACATACATAGCCTACAATTCCTACGTCATTATATATCTTACTTCAAAACTTAATTTTTTACTTAAATGTCATCTTCTATGATTTGAAATTATCTAATTAAACTCTCTGTTTTCTGTAGCCATTGAGACAACCCTGTGGTCCATAGAGTGGGGTCTCGCCGAGCTGGTGAACCACCCGGAGGTCCAGCGCAAGGTCCGGGCCGAGCTCGACACGGTCCTCGGCCCCGGCGTGCCGGTCACAGAGCCGGACATCCATCGCCTCCCCTACCTCCAAGCAGTGATCAAGGAAACCCTCCGCCTGCGAATGGCCATCCCGCTCCTCGTCCCCCACATGAACCTCCACGATGCCAAGCTCGGCGGCTTTGACATTCCGGCCGAGAGCAAGATCCTCGTCAATGCCTGGTGGCTCGCCAACAATCCGGCCAAATGGAAGAACCCGGAACAGTTCCGGCCTGAACGATTCCTCGAAGAAGAGGCGAAGGTCGAGGCCAACGGCAATGATTTTCGTTACATACCATTTGGCGTCGGCCGCCGCAGTTGCCCCGGAATCATTCTTGCTCTACCGATCCTCGGAATTACGCTCGGCCGTCTGGTGCAGAACTTTGAGCTCCTGCCGCCGCCGGGAATGGAGAAGATTGATACGGCGGAGAAAGGGGGGCAGTTCAGTCTTCATATACTTAAGCATTCGACCGTTGTTGCGAAGCCCCGGAGCTTTTGAAGATTTTGTTCGAGATGTGTGGTTGGGACGGAGGATTTGTTTGATTTGTCTGGATTGGGAGGGGGAGGCGATGGGAATAAATTAGGTTGCAATGTAAAATATCATTGATGTTAAGGAAAGATGTCTTAATGAAATTTTTCATTTTTGTTTTATTGTGTTTTTTGGCATTGGTGAGCTTTGGATGGGTGGGTTTAGAGCATATCTTTTGGTGCTTGACGAAATGCCCAATCATCGAGCTATCATACGATGCGATTTTTTATGTTGTTTTAAAGAATGTGTTGATTTACCGTTTTTTCGCAAACCTCTCTCTCTCTCTCTTTTCTTTTGCCGCAATGAGTTGTTGTATTATGTGGTTATTTAGACTAAAATTTGATTTGAAATGTTGATACATAGATTGAGTCAAATTTAAAGGCTGAAAAGATGTTTTCATGTCTTTTTTTTTTTTATAATTTCTCATCATGATATTTATAATTTTTGTTGGAAATAAGTTTTTTTGTTATGATTTTTGAAAGGTTGTTATGCCAGAAATTTTTCCATATGAAGTGTGGGTGGAGCTCTGCATGCGGACTCCAGCAATAAAATAATAATAAATTATCATTATAATACTAATAGAATACTAACAAATTATTTTATAGTGATTTTGGGGTTATTTTAGAGTTAGTTATTTTGGAGTTATTTTGGGTTATTCAATTATTTTGGAGTTATTTTTGGACGTCGCAATAACATGTTAATAACACCGTGCGTTGAACCACTACAATAACTTCTGAGGTTTCAATTTGAATAGGTTTGGGCCAGGTCGGGCATAAAATATTTTTTTTAAAATATTTTAAGATGGGCCCGATGTAGCACATGTGGCGACATATTACTGGAGCACGCATATAGAGCTGCGTCCACACTCCGTATGGAAAATTTTTTGCATGTAGCTCAAAATAGTATTCATATAAATATTAAGAGTGGACACGCACAACTACAAAATTTTTACAAAATTTGAAGTCATTGGGAGCTTAAAATATTTCAAAATTATTATAATTTTAGGCTTTAAAAAGAAACCATATTTTGTTCACTATTAAAAGTATTGTGAATCCCATGAAGGGGGCGACTAATTTTAAATTTAAGAAAGTTGCATATTTTTAATTATTTTTCACCCCTAAGAGCCTACGTCCAAAAAAACTCAAAATTTAATGAATTTTAAAATTATAGTAGCCTAAGAGCTAAATTTTGAAATATTTTTAAATTTATGAGTTTAAATTTTTAAAATCAAAATGTTAATATTTTTAAGCCCTAAAAATTTATATTTTAAAGCTCAAAACTTTAAAATTTTTATTACTTTAAGAGCCTAAATGTTTAAAAACTATGATCTCTAATATTTAGAAACTAGCTTAAATTTTAAAAACTTTAGTTCTTCAATTAATTTAATTTTTAAATGGGTGATGTTATATTTTTAATTTTAAATTCCAAACATTTTGAAGCAATTAAAGTCCAAATCATCAAAAATTCCTATAGTCTCCTGATGTAAACCCCTATTTGGTGGCATCGGAGGATGTCAACTTTCCTAAATAACTTGAGAGACGAGTTGATCAATGTCGTGATAAACTTAACATACCATATTAAAAACACAAAAGGTCTTCATTGTAGCTGCAAAGAAGGGTTAGCTTGCAAATTAGCTTCTCCCAAATGATATTTTGTTTTCCTTGAACGACACTCAATTTCCAACGAATGGGTATTTACTTTCCCACGAGCAGGTATTTTAAAATCACAAATTTTAAAAAGATTTCTAAAAGAGCCCTCATATTTCCCTAGAAAGAGTACTTTACGCTTCCAGGAGTACATGTTTTAAAAATTTTCCCGCATCGTTTCAAAAATATACCTTTAGATGTTGTGAAAAACGACGACAATAAAGTAAAAAATGAAACGCGTAAAATAGCACACACAAAAAACACCAGAACGACACATAGATTTACGTGCTTCGGCAAATTTGCCTACGTCCACGGAGCTGCAGGGGATTTATTTCTTCGAAGAATTATACCGTCGAGCGCCTCGACGTTTACAAGAAAATCTCTATTTTCTTCTCTCCCTTCCTCTCTCTCTCTCTCTTCCTCTATTTCTCTTAGCTCTCAAGATGACTTGACTTAGCCTTGATTGGCTTGACGCTGCGAGTCATTGAAGTATGCAGGAACTGTGACAACAGCATTCTTTACAGAGGATCCTAAATAGCCTCAGCAATCTCACGCATCTTAATTAGAACCATAGATGAGATTTCTTCAGGTGCATACTGTTTTTCTTCTCCCTTGTACTGGACAACAATCATGGGCTTGTCTCCAGGTCCAGGAATAGCTTTGAAGGGCCAAAGCTTCAAAGCTTTGATACCGAGAGAGAGAGAGAGAAGAAGAGAGAGAAGAAGAGAGAGATTTTCTTGTAAACGTCGAAGAGCTCGACGGTGTAATTCCTCGAAGAAATAAATCCCCTGCAGCTCCGTGGACGTAGGCACATTTATCGAACCACGTAAATTTGTGTGTCGCTCTGGGGGGTTTTCTGTGGGCGATTTTAATCGGACTCGTTCTATTTTTTACTTTATTGTCTTCGTTTTTCACAACTGGTATCAAAGCTTTGGGTTCGAATCTAAGAAAGAACAATGGGCGGAGAATAAGTGATGACATCGGGGATCGAGAAGTTTAATGTCACTGATTTTGTTTACTGGAGGATGCAAATAGAAGACTACCTCTATGGAAAGAAACTTCATCTTCTGTTACTGGGAAAACGACCTGAAAAGATGGACGAGGTGGAATGGAATCTGTTGGATCGATAGGTTCTGGGGTTATACGATTAATCCTATCGAGATCGGTTGCCCACAACGTCATCAAGGAGATAACTACTGCAGATCTCATGGTGGCTTTATCATGTATGTATGAAAAGCCATCGGCGAATAACAATGTGCATCTGATAAAAAAATTATTCAACTTGAAGATGCAGAAGGTGTGTCTGCTGCTCAACACCTAAATGTCGTATGTTGAAATTGATTGTCGTCTGTTGAAATTGATTTTTATGATGAGATACGTGCACTGATATTGTTGGCTTCATTGCCAAATAGCTGGGAAACCATGAGGATGGTAGTTAGCAGTTCTGTAGGTAAATCTAAGCTGAAATATGATAATATTCGTGATTTGATTTTGGCTGAGGAGGTGCACAGAAAGGATTTTGGCGATGTCTCGTGTTCAAGTTCGACGCTAAATGTTGATTTCAGAGGGAGATCACATGATAGGAACTCAAACAGAGAAAGAAAGAGAAGAAAATAGAGATTTTTTTGTAAACGTTGAGGCGCTCGACGGTGTAATTCCTCGAAGAAATAAATCCTCTGCAGTTCCGTGGACGTGGACAAATTTGCCGAACCACGTAAATCTGTGTGTGGCTCTGGTGTTTCTTCTGTGTGCAATTTTACTCGTTCCATTTTTTCTTTATTATCGTCATTTTTCACAACATTAGACACATAACATTACATCAATACAAATACTTTTTTTTCATTACAAATATAATGCACAAAACTGAAATAAAATAAAATAATGAAATGAACAGCGAAGAAATGACGACGGCTTCGATTAGGGAAACATAAGGAGTGGTGATATAGGGAAGCTCAACAGGGGCATTCGGGAAATAAGAAAGACGAGGTTGGTTGTTGCAACAGATGATAACCGAAGAAATGCTCGCGTAAACAGTGAAAAGAAACAGAGAAAGGCAAAGGGATTTACTGTTCTTATATTCAGATTTCAAACAGGAAGAAGGTGACAAAGTGGAGGGATTCCTACTGCAGACAGAACCAGAGAAGGACAGAGTGTGCCAAGCCTTTTCACTTTTGCCATTTCAAGTGGAGAACTAGCGAGAGAGGAGAAAACCTATGGCAGAATCTGCTGCCAAGAGAACAGCAGGACAGCAAAGTGAAAATTGAAAAAGGAAGAAAATCACAAAGAAGAAATGCACACAAGAACATCGAGAACTTACGTGGTTCAGTCCATAGGACACATATCCACGAGAGGGAATCAAAAAATAATTCACTAAGACAATCTTGAAGTTTATACCGCACAAAATCAAGGACGAACCAATCCCCCTAGCTCTCTATCAATCATGTTCTCGATAGAGGTTTCTTGGTTCCTCACCTTGATTTCTCTGAATTTCTCTCCACCTCAACCCTCTCAACTCATATACATTATTACATATATATAGACAATGACTCGTACAAGATGACCGGTTAAACACTTGTCATAGCCAAATGACCGCTGTAACCATTAACTATAGAAAACCTCTGCGGCGTCATCTTAGTTCACATAATTGAGAGTCATCATAACAAAACCCAAAGAATCTTACCGGTGTGCAAGAAGGTAGACTTGTAAAAGGTAAATGGAGCAATTACATACAAACTACATGTTAGGTATGGCTCATATACCAAATAAAGGACAGATGTTGGAGCGGAACGGAGCAAACCAGCAGAGCGGAAACATTTGTGTAATTGGGAGAGTTACATTATATGGGTCAGAGGTGCGGGGGCAATGCCTCTACGGTACGGTACAGGGATAATTCTGTAATTATATATTATACTCCGGGATTATATATGTCTGTGTAACCCTATGTCTTAATCATGTACTCTTTTTCTGAATTAAAAAAAAAACAACCGCTCTGCTTCCGAGGACGTAGATATCTTTGCCGAACCTCGTTAAAGCTTTGTGTACTTCTTCTGAATTTATGTTTCTTTGCCCTAAATTTCTCAACACTGCCCAAAACTTCTTATTTACAAATCAAACCACCCTCTTTCATTCATTTTTATAATTCTCACTCAAATATCAAAAATGATAAAACCTCAACTAATATTTTTCATTTTTTATCGTATTCTAAAAAGTTTGATCGTCCCACACGCAAATGCATCATTTCAATAGTTAAAAAAAAAAACACTTTGATGGTTAATTTGTAAATATAAATATTTGCATGTAATTATCCCAAAAATAAAATTTAGCTGCTAGCTATATAAACACACAAATAATTGCCTAACATATCTGTAAAAAAAAAGTAAACAAATAACACTATGTCACACTAAAATCAAGTGTATAGAACCCCCAAAGCATCCCAACGGTACATAAACCGAAAGCCAACGGCCCCACCATCCAAACCAACAACGAAAGCCCAACATACAGAACTCTATTGCCAACCACACCCAACACCACACCCTTCATCATCATCTCCTCTGCATGAGCCATGAACGCCTCCCCTTCATTCAAGCAGATGAGAAAGTTGGCTTCTATGATGAAGCCAGCCGCCATGGAATTGAAGAGGAAGCTGAGGAGCATGAACATAGACACAGATGAGTATTTCAGCACCAGTATTGCTTCCATTTGAGAGCCGAAGGTTGGGTGGCCGGCGAAGAGGTGGCTTGAGGTGTACAAGTTGTTGGCGAATGAAGCGAGGGCGGCGTTGATGGTTATGGAGATCGAAGCGAAGAGGATGGTCGACATGAGCGAGTTGCGGAAGGTTTGAACTCCGATTACGGCTTTGTTGCTGTCTGCCTATTTGCATGCATGAACATGTACATAAGTTAAAAATTATTTGAGGACATTTTGATATATTTTGTATACAAGTAAGATACATGGAAAAGAAAAGGACGGCTTCTAATTAGGAGATACAAGTTCAAATTACACTTTAACTGCTAATTTTCAACCTAGTCATTATTAAGGCTCAATTAAAAGAAGAAAGAAAAGAATTTCATTTTTTCATGCAAGGATAAGATAGTGTGCATCTAAAATTTCTAATTTAGATGCCGGATATGTAAATACTTAGGGCTTGAGTTGTATGCATGTAAATCTTCCAAAAAGAACCACCCCAAAAATTTAAAAGCTTATAGCTCATGCTCAAGTGAATAAACATTTCTTAGTTAGATGGTTCTCATTTTCATAAATAAAATTCTTTATTTTTAATAAAAAACATCTTATTTATCATTCTAAAATTAAGAATGTCATAAGCTTAGGTCATGCTAGAGATCAAATTTGATTTTATTTTTGTTTGTGAAAACATGTTTGTATAGTGTATTTTATATACATGTTTTTGAAAATACTCAAAACAACTTCTAGACATTTTGAGTGTTTTAAAAAACAGTCACATATTAATCAAACACATCAAACATGTTATGCTTCAAATCAAAATATAAACAAAACAATAAAAAAAAAAACCAAAGTAGGAAACAAAAAATAAAAATAATCCCAAACAGCCCCTTAGACATACATATAAATCAATTTTAACTTCATGTTTGGCACCTTCGCACTCTGTTCTTAGAAGTCATAGTTTTGATCCCCCAACAAATTCAAATATGTCTTTGAATTTTACAATTAAATTCACTCAAAATTTTTACTCAATCAAAACAACAACATAATAATCCCTTCTAGTTTCACACCCAAAAACTAATGCATCATCAATTTAAACATGATTTTATTTAAGACAAATAACATTACTCTAGACTCATCTCCCTAACAAGCAATAAAAAATGAAAGGGGAGATGAAAAGTTCCTCACCTGCATGATGCTCTGAAACCACACTCTTTTACTCACCAAATTGGCTCCAACACTTGTCTTTGGTTTCTTGGACTTAGAGCTGTGCCATAAGTAGAAATGGTAGCTCGCATTGATGAAGATGCTGAAGGGCACAAGCAATAGATCCAATGAGTTCTTGTTCATCTCCATTCTTAATCTGATGGCTTCACAAAAGAGCAAAAGGAAGTTTTCTTATAGACTTAAGTGTATCCGTACATATATTTAATAAAGAAGATATACATCACACTCAATTCTTATATATTTATATATCTGACACCAAAACTACAATTTTTACACATATGCCGCCTTACCTATGCATGTAAAGCTAGCTGTTTTTCACTATTTAAGGCGGTATAGATGTAAGAAACAAAATTTAGGGTGGTGTGCATGTAAATGCCCATTTGGAACCAAAGTTTTGAGTGGGAAAATTGGCAAGCAGACATCATAAGTTAGGTTGGATTGTTGTCAGTGTTATGTAAGTGGACTTGGTGGGATCAAGCTCAGCACAACTCTGCAGTGTGAGGGTTGGAAAATATGCATGTAAGTTTATGATGATGGGCGCATTAAGGGACTTCCACTTCATTGTTGGTAACTGCCTACACATCCAATTAATCAAAAATAAATAAATTTTCATGATGAAATAATAAATAAGTACTATGAGTTGGGCGCTAATGGACTGATAGATGGTCAACTTTTAGGGGTACTCGGTGAATCATTGAAAAAAATGGCGGAAAAAAAAATGGCGGCTAAAGCCGGCGCGAGTGCTTGTGATTGGCTATCCGTAGATATGTTGTACGCACATAGTATTTTCTCTTATCCTAAATATGTTCGTAGTTGACTTCCAATTATTTTTGACATAGAAAGCTAATTGGATTGCTTTGGTTGATTAAACAAATTTAAAATTATTGGATTCAAATTTGTTCGAAGATAATGTGAGAGTCTTACTTACATGAATGATTTAAGAAACGAGGATTAGAAGAGAAAAGCTATGGGATTCATTAGAATGTCCTAAAGTAAAAAACTATATTACAATATTTAATAGAAGTTTGTCATAAAATGAACCTAGTTAACTTCTAAGTACTTGATTAAAGAGAGAATATGCGTTTAATTCTAGATGTGGGAGGAATCAGAGTGAATCTCATGATAAAATATTATTGGCACGTTTAAATACATACCCACCAATTCCTATGTATCAACATATCTAACATTTAAACTTTACTTTATTACATTTATATCTCTCCAATCTTTCATATCACATTAAATATAACTTTTGACTTTTAAGAAGTGAACCACATCTTTTCATGCACAGCTCAGATGGCATAAGAGCAAAAATTAAAGTTTAAGTGTTAGGATATGTAAATACACAAGAAGTGGTATATGCCTAAATCTTCCTATCTTCATAGGACAACCAAAACATGCGTGTGGGGTTGGAACAAAAATTTGAATGAGTTGCATTTGCAACGGCCAAGTAGTGTATGAATTGGTAGTTGCTCATTAATCTCCCGTATCAAAATTTTATTTTATATATTAGCAAGTTGTCTGCATGATAACACGTGGCAGATTATCATACATGTGTAATAAAAGTCAACTAAGTGCCCAAATAAGAGAACAAATCATATAATAATGGTATGTAACATGTGCCCTGACAATAAGAGAACAAATGCACTTAGAATTCAACTTTGACCAAGGGTTATAAACTAATGAAATTTCAAAGTAAAAGAGTAGCCTTACGGAGCAATCATAATCCTCAATGTTTTTGTTAGGTTGTATTTGTGGCAGCGATGTTGTGGCAGTGTGCTCCTGCACCGCACTTTCAAGCATTTGACAAAATTAAGTTGTCTGTTTTTTCAAAATGTTGCAAGAGAAAAATAGATTTTGTAATATGATCTGGCTAAATATGGTGGCTGCCTTAGAATTATATATATATGTATTAAAAATTAATGGTCGGAGGCTATTATGCGAGCTCCGACCATCCCTCGTGCGCTTAAGAATTCGAGTATCACACCCTACATTCGAGGGGAATCGAATCCCAGACCAGAGGGGACTTACAATTGACAAGCAGATGCCCGACCAATTGATCCGAGTATCGACGCAAGAATTATATATATATAATATATATATAACTGGTTCCTTATAATCACTACATTATAATAGTTCATGTTGGAAAAAACTACTTCCCACCACAAAATTTACTAGAAAGCATGGTTTCTCAAAACAGAACTGTGGTGGCGATCTAAAACGCAAAACACACATATAGACTCTAAGATTTTCTTCTTTATTTTAACCCTTATATATGCAGAATAAATTAAATAATAAAACTTCACATAGAAAATAAGAAAAAATGTACTCACCATATACAAAAAAGAAAAACATTTGTGTGGAATAAAGAAATAACATCAAAACCCACCTACTGAGATTTTCATAATTAAAACACCAGAAATCATGTCCAAATTCACAATAAAGACAAACAAGCACTACCAATACATAAATCCCTATGTACACATCTGAAAGAATACATTTTTTTTTAAATCATAAAGAAGAATGAAAGCAAATTTTTCACACGAATTTACTAAGCTCTGCCACTACCATATTCACCAGTTATTAACTATACTGTCAAAAAATCTCAATTTTCAAATAATATATGAAACTGCAAATTGCAAACCTGCCCTTCAAACTTCTCTTATTTATAAAATGAATCATCTTCTTCTTTCTTGCAGTGCCTCTCCCATCTTTTTCGCCCGGAAGGCCGACAAATTTTCAACGTATCTGTGCTTTGATATTCATCATGAGAGTTGCCATTGTTAAACAATAGCTCACTGGCTGAAGAATAACCCATGAGGTTATGTAGCCTTAAGCAATTAAAACCTTCACCTTTTTCTTCATCTACTCTCTCATCAAAACTCCTTGATTTAGGCAATGCAGGCTTGACCTCACCCGAATTACTCTCTGAAGAAGAAATCAGATCCCAGGCAGTAATATCTTCATACCGAGACGCAAAGTTTTCATTTTCTGCAACCACATTTAGTTCATCGTTCTCCTCACTAGGTGGATGCCGGTCCTCTGCGGGGGTCTGCGGTATCGACGGAGTTCTGGGTTTGAAGAAGTACATTAGTACTTCAGAGCAAGCGCCGCATCGAAGCTTGTTAACCCTCTTCGGCGAGACCAGAAAATCAACAGGTAGCTGAAGCAATTTAAAGCATTTGTAGCAGATGACGAAAGGGGCGCCGCCTGACACAGGACGGCAAAGCTTATTTTGCGCCCTCGAAACCTTGAGTTGCAAGTTTTGTGGAATTGCAGGTTCAGATAAATGACAACAGACATTGTGAGGACAGGGCCTGCAGTGTTCATTGTGGCAACATTTCTCTCTGGAATTATGGAACAAGGAAGAGCTTGGCTGTATGGAGAAAGGAATGAGTGAGGAACGATGCTCTTTTGATGGAAGTTTTCCTCGGAATTGGGATTTTTTTACAGCAGATAGAGATGATTCACTGCTGTTTGATCTTCCATTGAACAATCCTGTAAGCTCGTTCCTCAGTTCATCCACTCTACTCAAAATGTTAACTTGATTGTCCTGTTCAGAGAATCTTCGATCGATCTTAACTTCAACATCTTTTGCCGGAGAACTCGAAGACTCATCGATCCAGCTTTGTCGAACATCCTGAGATGTAAAAATGGATTTTTGTTCACGTTCAGTGGCCGAGTAGAATCTATCATTAGAAAATCTCCTTGTTGAGTTATCTTCTGCATTTGTGCTAGTTGTAGAATTTGAAGCATTTTTGTTTCGAAAGGTTCTTCTCGATAAATGAAAAATACGATATTTTCTATCTTCATCTGGGGAAGATACACTTCCTTCATATGCTTGAGAGGAGCTTCCACTGGTAATTCTGAAATGAGCGCCATTTATGAACTCCATATTGAGCGAATCCTCCTCTGAGTTGGCAGAACGCCCCGTAGGTTCTGAAGAATCTTCCAACTTATCATTTGATTTCTGATTATCAGAGATTTCTGGGTGCACATTAGGAGATTTTTCCAGTTCTTCATTGCCTGCTTCCAATCTCTCTCTAAATCTGCTTCCTTCAAGTTTGGATGCCTCCCTCTTTGCCTCGTCAGTTTCGCCATTAAACTCAGATACAGGAAGATTCTTAATTTCAGTTTGTTCGTGTTCCAAGGATATCTCGTCACATATATTTTCACTGATCGATTCAGAAACATTGAGATTATTAATATGAGTTTGCTCAACTACTTTAGTTGCATCAGAATCAGGAGTTTTTCTTCTGAGATTTTTCGATCCATTGCTTAAACAATCACTGTCAGGTAAGTTCTGGGAAGCAGAAATGGCAGACTCAGAGCACAAATTTTGTGCACTGTTTGAACGTGCTTTAGCTGATTTGGAAAAAATCATTCGTCAATAATGATCTCCCAAATGGAAAAAAAATAGGGCATTTACAAAAACATATCAGATACCAACCAATTCTTACTTTTACATTAATACCAGATGCCACAATTTTAACTTTTTAAGTGAAATACAACTTATTCATGCCTGGGTAAGATGGCATGTATGCAAATATTAAATTCTAGTTATAAGATATGTAAATACATAGGAATTGAGTGGTATGCTCGTAAATCTTCAGAAAATTTATAAGCGAGCGCAGAAGAACAAACAAACCTCTAATTATGGCGCCGCATCCACCACATTTATAAACAGGAATTTCTGAAGACTCTGTTAGAAGCTTAAAACATTTGAAGCATCTAACAAAACGAATAGCTGGAACTGTGTTGTTCTCCATGATCTTTTTAAGCCCGAGATTAATGAGCAGAGCCTGCTAGAAATCACTTCAACACATCGTTCTTCGTTCAATTGAGACGATGATATACTAGCTGTTCTCTCCCACAGAAAGGTGATCTTCCTCTTGAATTTCTTCTGCATAAACATAATAAAAACTCTTAATGTTGCAATCACAGCCAAAAGCAACTAAAGCCATTAAAACAGCTTTATACATTGTATGTTAGATATGTTTTCACATGTCTAACACATTATGTTTGATATTTACGTTTGCAATACTTTGGTGCGATAAACCTATGCATGAAAAGATTTGACTTTTAAAAAATTACCAATTATGATATTTTTATGTGAAATTAAGGATTTAAATGTTATGAATGCAAATATGAAAGTTTAAGTGTTTGGCATATAAATTAAAAATACCCAACGTGGGAGCGGCTAAGGCAACAAAGGGCAAGACGGGTACAAGGCCAAATTGTCCTTCCATATAAGTAAAAATCTGAATTTTAGAGCGGGCAATCTCGTATAAGTAAAAATCTGAATTTGAATGTGGGGAATCTCATATAAGTAAAAATGTATGGTATGTATGTAAATGCCGCTACAATAATTTCTGAAGCTTAAATGCAGCAAAGTTCATGTGGTTCAACTTCAATTAGGCTTCGTTTATAACTGCATGGAGATTGAATAATTTCCAATAAATTTTAAAAGAGCATACATTAAAGATTTCTTCATAAATTGGGAGATTAATAAAGGTTATAATTTTGATGAAGAGGAAAGAAGAAAGAAGAAAAAAGAATTTGACATATTGGAGTTGCAAATCAATAATAAAACATACAACCATTTGTTGTCACTAGTGATAAAATTGTTATGAGAAGTATTAAATCTCATAGTTGTATAGGAAGTGTGTATATTAGGAAGATTGATATTATGTAGCATAATTAGAGAAGATTTCATTACATGATTTTTTCAATATTAAAAAGATTGATACAATAGGTAACATAATCAGATGAGATCTAATCACATGATCTTTTCTATCAGAAAATAATTTCTAATTTGTATGTCATAATCCTCTCTTATCTATACAAGGGATTATATCTGATTCTTATGTGTGAAGTTATAACCTTATTTCAACCGTTTTTCCTCTCTCGACATCAATTCTGTAAGAACCGAAATAATTTCTTACCTTCTTCTTTCCTTCCTTACTCTTTCTTTACCGACTTCAAAAATCGCACTCCCTTTTTTTCTCCCCCACTCGTAATTTACTGCCTTCCCTTTTGTTCTCTTGTTTACCGCCTCCCGCAGCTACTTAGAGAGCGCATACGCATCGCACTCCCCACCTCACCACTCTCTTCTCCCGATCTACCCTCCTCCCTCTCTCCCTTTCAGTTTCACTCGAATAGTCTTCGTGACCGAACTCCTCGCAATACTGTCACCGATATAGCTAGGTAGGAAGGCAATGGCGCTATAGCACATACAAATACTTAAAACTCTCATTTTCTCCTCCTATCTTTTGCTCAAACCCGAATCCATCGAGGTAACCCCTGTCTGTCTCTGTCTTCCTCCCTCGCGCACGCTATAACTTCTCAGAACCCCATAAATCCTTTGTCAACACGTTCTTAACTCGAGATTTAAGGCAAGTCAGAGGAGAACAGAGAATTAAAGAAGGTATGATTAAAAGAGGCTTTTTTATGTTGTTTATTAGGTTATAGAAGTTATTTCAAGATTTAAACTAAAATAAGAGAATACATTATTTTAAATAGGTTAATAGGTCAATGTTCACAATTCTTCTCTTTAAAATATTATCATAATAATATTTAATTAATAAGACGTACGACGGTATTAATAATTGTCGATTTGGTAGAACCTAATTTAACAAATAATTAAATTTATTGGTATATTCATTTATATTTCATTTTTTCTAATGTGTAGGATTGCTAGTCGAACTGTCAAACTTGTAGAATGGTCGCTATTGTAGTCTCAAAGTAACTGATGTTTATTGAAGGTTAAATACAACCTTCTTAATTAGGGGTGTTATTCTTTGTTAATTGTAATAGAATCACATACATTGCTTATGTTTGTCAGTCAGGCCCTTACTACTTCAATGATGATGTTGCAACTATTATATGCTTACTGTATTGTACATGCTGAAATTGCTAACTGCAATTACTACTGCAGATTTGAACAATCCTGTAGTTATAGTGTTTTCTTTTTCTTTCATAAACATTTTATGAACCTGCATGTGGATCCACCTTATATCACAAACCTGTGTAAAATTACATACTTCTTACATATTATAAAATGAAAACAAATTGACATGTTTGTGTGTGACAAGTATGTAGTTCGGTAAAACTCTTTTAGATTTTGGCTAGTCGGGCTGACTAACACACAGAATGATGACTCTACAAGATATTGCAGGGTTTCCTTGGGTTGATATTTAACCTTCCCAATTACAGGGTGTCTATTAAAACCAATTATGTATATATATAAACATAAATGAAAGTTAAATGATAAGAAATTTTAATTGAAAATAATTGTATGTTTTGTATGTTATGCATATTTGATATTTATCACCACTTGTTGATCTTATAGTGTTATATATACACATAGTAGTCCTTCCTAACCAGTTGTCTATATTGCATGTCACATTCTTCTTGTCGTTTATATTTTAATAGATGACTGTTAATTACTGAGTTTATCAAACTCATTCTTAATTTTTGCATGACAGGATTCAATCAACCACCGGTAAGACCGTCTCCACAGTAGCTAGTTTTAGTATTTTCTTTAGTATTTGCTTCTAGTTATTGTATTTTTCTTTGTTGGGTTTGGGCAGTTGTTCTATGTTATCACTTCTATTTTGACTCAACTAGTTTTCTATTTTTAGTCCAGTTATAATATTGAACTTTCATTATTAATAAAAGATACACTTCTTTTTGTTTACAATGCAAGTTTTTCTTTGAAATTACAAAATAGGTTCAAATCATTTTCTCATTCCCCGCGTTGTCGGGGTGTACCACTTTCTGGACCCGGAGTGTGACATGTTGATTGCGGAATAATTTCTCCACGTGAGCGTAGACAAATTTGCACCGAACCACATAAATCACAATATGTTTGATTGTTTGCTAGTCGTGAGATTTTGTTTTTTGCATTGTTTTGCACAACAAAAAAGCTTCACATAAGTTTTACTTTATTAAGTTATCTAAGAACTGCTCAAGAATTTGCATATCCACTTTTCTCCTTCGTGTTTAAGTTTCTCCACAAAGGCAACCATAATGTCCTTCCTTAGAGAAAAACTTGCCCGAGCCTCTTCCCCTCTCCACCTACTTCACCCAAACTCAACTCTCCATTGAATATGTTCTTTATTTTCTCTATCATGGATGGTTTTTAGTATGGAAACTCTTCTAAACTCATTAAAACAAAAAGATCTCAAATATATCAATACAATTTTTTGTAAATTATCCTATCCCAAAAATCCCAAGTCAAGATGACCAAAGTTGTAGTTCTATGCAACTTAAAAGATATGAGTGACAACCCTAGATGCCATTGTTTTAGGACACCAGAATTTACATACATAGAAGTAGAAAATGTAGATTTACCACCCAACTCCTACGTATTTACATATCTAACACCTAATCTTTGTTTTTTTACATTTACATCACCCGTATCTTTCGTATCAAAAGTAGCACCATTATAACTTTTTTAAAAGTGAAATACACCCTTTAATAAATAGCTAAGGTGACATGTAAGTGTTAGATATATAAATAAATAGGAATTGGGCAGTATGTTTGTAAATCTTCCAAAAAAAAAAAAATATTTAACAATTTAAAATAATCAAACAGCATGTATTTTTAAATAACATGCCCTTACACTATTACAATGTTTGTAAATTAAACAACCGCAAAAGAAAGATTTTATTCGCAAACAATGACTTCTCATTCTAAGACAAATAACTTCAACCTATATGCCTAACAATTCTTAAAATAATGGAGCCGAAACCATGTAGAACTTGTGAAAATCTGTAAAAATCAATTTGCAGAACGATCTAAAGCTTAATAAAGCAAGTCAAAGAGATGCAGTTCGTCCTACAGACGAACAACAGAAAAACATTACAGGGGCATCAAGACGGCTTAAAATCTTATTTTGGGTGTTTTCATCACTAGAAACTTCGGAAAACACAGAATTTAAGTGGGAAACTTACCTGATGAAAGCCAAGACGCGGTTTTCTTTAAAATAAAAAAGAAATTACATAAGCAAACAGGAAAAATAATAAAAATTTAAGATTTTACCGATCCATACATCCCCAAAAAGAAAAAAAAAACAAGCAAAGCTGACACTTTTTAGCAAAATCACCAAAAAAAAAAAAAAGACATTTTGACAAACAGCTACCTTTCAAAGAGAACGCTTCAAAAAACTGGAATAACTTGATTTGCAAACAGTGATAAGACAAAAAAAAAACCATTTTTTAATTAAAAGACGGCTAAGAGACAGCTGTTCCTTCAATGCAAAAACTAAACACTAAGAGATACTCATCACCTGCTTCTCAACTAACTATTTAATGAAGATCCAAAACGAAGCAACCTCCTACCTCCTTTTCATTAAAAATAAAAAATTAATCCAGAAAAAAAAGTGAACTTTTTCTCCTCTCAAGCATTTCAATCCAGTTTCAGAAATAAAATAAAAAGAAACATAAAAAAAGCTCAGAGAAGCGAACCTCTGAGTCTGAAATATCTTGATCAGCTCCCTCTGCTTCTTCCTTCCCCCTTTTCTGGTCGGGGTGAAGAGACATAAGAAGGTGGGAGGAAAAAAAAATCTGATCTTTTACTCGGCCCAAAAATCTGATCTTTTACTCGGCTCAAGCTTTGACTAAAGAGATTCTATTCAGAGGTCAATGGCCCTTATCGCGTATCAGAAGCCATTAGTGCTCCACCTCTGATCTTTCGTAGAGCGAGAAAGAGAGGAACGGGACTTTGGGGGAAGAGGGAGAAAGCAAAACAGGGAAGTGATCGCTGTCACCGAAAAGAGTTACGCGGAGCACGAGAAGAAAGTTCACACGGGTCCAGTTTTTGCGGTGCGTCCTCCGCGGGACAGCTTACAAGCCGAGCAACAATGGGCTCTGAGCCGAAGAAGCCATCTACGGCTCACACGTAGCCAGCCGCCGCAGTGGGCCATAGGCGGCCGGTCCCACGTTGACTTGGTGCTTAATTTCGTGGCTAAGAAAGTGCTCGCTTTTGGTGATGGCTACTTTGTTGTTGACTGCTGTATGAATTTGCTTGAAGTTGGGTTATTAGTGGCTGTTAACTTAAACGTGGAAGCTTAGCTTAAGAAAATGAGCATATTATGGATTAGCGATTTCGTCATCCTTAATCATTTTTTGGCATTGGGTTATGGGAGATATTTATTTTTGATTTATCAATCACTGGTGGAGCTCAAAGACTGAATTTATTAAAACTAAGGATTTGATTTATGAGATATTGAATCTTTCATGTCAAATCATCGACAGAAATAAAACTAAAGCACGACGCATACTTTAATTTTATGATTAATTGTATTTATAGGTTGTTGTCTTTCAAATTGATATGTGATCTTTAAATCTTTTCTTTCAATGGGATTAAAGACAAGAGGAAGTCTCTATATTTCTTTTTTGAGAATGTGAAGGAACACTTGCACACATGAAATGAGGACTATGATCACTTTGAAATAACTGACAAATAAGTAGACTGCCTAAACGGTAGTAATTTCATACACATTTATACTTTCAAGTTTGCTCATCAAAAAAGTTTAAAACATAAATAGATTCACAAACCTATTAGTTATATCTTATTAGATCATATAAATAAGGTTAAACTTTTAAAATAACATAAATATTACATTTATTTCCATGTATTTACCCAAATAAAAATCATTTAATTATTTTCCTATTTAAGCCACATATGTTACCTTATAAATGTGTTCACATTAGTGAGCCCAAACTTTACTATCATGTATAAGGGCATTTTTTAATAATCCCAACCATTGCTTATATCAATACAGGACCAAAGCGACCTCCATCATAGGTAGAGCATTACTAGACTCATCAATGATCATATATATTGATACAACCAGATGACATATCAAATATGAATTTGCAGGTGTAGCATGAAACTTACATGCAATCTGATTCATACATGCATAATTCCAACTAGTCCAAATTGAAACTTTAATGAGATCATAAATTAAACCAAAATCCGAGTAAAAACTAAACTGAATTTTTCATTTTTGGAGAAAACAAACAGTATATATATATAAAAGAAAATGATAGCAGAGTTAACTCAAATCACAGCAGAAATGCAAATATTACTGTTGAAATTCAAAATAGTCACAAACAAGGACACTTCACAATCCAAAAAATAACAATACAAACACAAAGACACCGTAGGCTAGCACAAAAGGAGTGAATTGTGTTGGATTAGTGAAAACAAGGAATTGGGAATTGGGGGTGGTAGGGAGGTTTGACAGAAGCAAGGAGGAGGTAGAAATGCGGCTGGACGACAAGTAACAAATGGTTGGAGACACTTGCAATGTAGGGAGAGGCGGCCGAACGACAACTTGTAGCAGTATGGTGTAGGGATGCGGCTAGACAACAACAAGCAGCTGATGGATGGAGTGAAAGGACAGTGCACGGATGGAAACAACGATCAAGGGGTGCACAAAAATGATGGCAGAGAGCATGAGAGGAATAAGCAAGCAAATATGTGAAGGTAATCATCGCCTTGAAGTAGGATACATCCGAAGCACCACCTGTCCTTAGATACAACTTTAGCAAAGGAAAAGTCGCTAACGACAGAAAAGTCTAAAATAAAAACTAAACTCTAAACAAATAAAATTACATATATATAGTAGTAGATAACTAGGATGGGGTGACCCCTTCACTTGAGCGGCAGCACTAACCTAGGCCAAGAGTCGGCCGACCCCTGCAACCTCATGTTGAATTGGTTCAGAACCTTTTCAATCGGTTTAACATCCTTCAAGTGAGACTTACTTTAGTCCCTTGAGGTTGGGGAGGTTCGACCTCATTCGTCGAAACTTCTGATTTGTCGTAACACATATTCAAATTTGCTACATTGTAAATAGCAGAAATATTATAACCCCCCTAGTATGTTGATCATATAAGCATTTTTGTTCAACTATTTAAAGATCCTAAAATTTCATCTACTCTAAGCTTGAGCTTCCAGAACACTCCCCCTAAAAATAGAATTCTTCTAAAAATTGAAATATGGTTCTTCTTTTCTTTAATTAAATTCCAATAGATTAATTAGATATTAAATAGTAACTTTTTTTTTTTTTTTTTTTTTTTGTAGAGTTAGGGGTGTACATGAGTCAAGCTCGAGCCACCTTCAACAAGAGCTTGAGCTTGATTAATTTTAAAGAGTTTGAGCTTCATTCAAGCTTGAGACAACTGTGAGTTCGAGTTGGCTCACAAGTCGACGTTTTTATTCTTTAAGAGAAAAAAAATAATACTAATATAAAATGAGCAATTAAGAAAGAAATAATAATAAATCTCTTAATAAAAAATATAAAATAATATTTGTTAAATATTTTTAATGATTTAAAAATAAAATCTTCAAATTTAATATATTTTAAGTACAATTTATATTAATATTATTATAAACAAGCTGGCTCACTAAGCTAACGAGCCGAGTTGAGGCTAGCTTGAGCTTGAACTGTTAGCTCATCGAGCTGAGTTCACTCTTATCAAGCCGGCAAAGGAGTCGGCTTGACTGGGTGGAGTTGATCTATAATGAAAACTAGATTTGTGGTTAGGGTATGCTTTGAACTTTGGGTCTCCAAGTTAGAGAAGGCTCACTACCAACTTCTCCAAAAAACTCACACACATGGTCACAAATTCTAAGGACACGATATTAAAAACTGTTCTCAAGTACTGAGTGAAGAAGCTAATGATATTCCTTTTCATGGATTTCAACATCAGTACTGATTACCCAAATGTTATTTGTCAGTATTCAAATGCTAAAATCAAGCAAACTTGCAGAATTCACCATCCAAGGATCCAAGATAAATTGCAATGTCTTCTAATTCCAAAGGCAGGTCTCTACAAAGCAGGTAGTCACCCTCATCAGCATGTTTCTATTCATTTCTACTATCAAGTGGTCATGATTGCAGGTCTTCTATATTGTATCTGCAACCTCTTACACAGCTGCTGATATCCCATGCGATAATGCTCAATGGAGAAGCAAAGCTGTCTGATAACTTCCCTCTTCCCCTCAGCACCATCCATGATTAAAACTCTCTGCTTTTCCACCTCATCCTCAAGCTCTCTCACTCTAGATGTCAGATCTACTGAGGCCTTTTGAGACTCCTCAAATTCTCGGATTAGTTTTGCATTCTCCGCCTTTAATTCTCGTATTATTTTTGCATTCTCCGCCTTTAATTCTCGCAGATTTTCATCAGCTTTACTTAAATCGTCATCTTGAACTCTGACATTCTCCACAAGCTTGCTCACTTGAGCTTTGAGCTCTTCATTCTCTGATTCTAACCTGACAACTTTCAGCTTAACTCCATCAAGACTTTGAGTTAGTTCATTCATCTGCTTCGCAGTTTCTGCACATACTTTACTCTTCTCAGCCTCCAATTGCTTCACCCGTTTCTCAAAAACCTGAAGCTTTGCCCAGTAGGCGTTGCTAGAGACCACAAGACTTGAAAGTTTGGCTTCCAGCGCATACTTCTCTTGGAGAAGCCTCTTAGAAGAATGAGCAGCCATGGCCTTCAGCTCCAAGATAGTTTGCTCCTGCTCCAGAGTTCTAAATTCCAGACGCGATCTCTCATCTTCAACCTCTTCATCTTCAGCAATTGTGCTTATTCCCTCAGCTTTAAGAGAGGACTTGTATTGCATAGATTCATTCAATACTGCACCAAGCCATGTTTTGTACTCCTTGATTATGTGGTCTCTGCTAGAAATTTCGCTCTCAAACTGCTTAGCAGCAGTCTCCATTGCTTCCATGAGATTTTTTATATCAACTTGGTGGTCTGGTGAATCAGTCTGAAATATTTCAATCTGTTTTTGCAAGGCAGTGAAGTTCCTATTTGCAAATACAGGCAGGTTCATCTCCATGGATGAAGTGGTTGAAGACAAATCCAAAACCTCACCGTTCAACAGATTTTCGCACTGCTCCTTAGGGCCATTCTTATATTCGTGAAGCTTATCCCTTGCTTCATGAAGCTCGTTCTCTAGACCAATTATCCTCATTTCAAGCTGAAAAGAATGCTCATAAGAATCCATAATCTTGCTATAATCAGATTCAGAACCAGATTCTGATGATGACTCGTCTGAACCCTTTCTAGAACGATCGGAGCTTCGGCCGGACCCGAGGAAGAAATCGAAACCAGCAGCTCTCCAATGCGGCTTGAAATGGTTCGCCTTTGGTTCCAGTGTTCTCGCTGGGGACAAAGGTAAAGATGCTGAAGCTGCTTCCATGGCGCATTCATACCAGTTGGACGAACACTGGGATTGGATTTCGGAGGGGATATTCTTCGCCAAATCACCAATGGCATGATCATAACGCTGAAGAAGAGCACGGTAAACGCGGTAGAAGTCTTTAACGTGGGAGATCAATTGCGGACGCCGCTGGTAATACATCTTAGCTTTTTCTGCAAATGAATCGCCATCTTCTTCAATGAGCTTCAGCATTTCATTGACCAAGCGATCCATGTCTGTAATAAGTAAAGATTTCATTTTCTTTTTTTTTCCTCTTTTGTTAATGCAAGTGAAGAAATTAATGAGAGAAATACTGTTTTGACTTCTTACCTTCAAGATTTTCAGACAACCATTTTGAATTTCTTGGACTAGTAAAACTATTCCACCACCATGAATGAGGTTTCATGCTTGCCATCCCCTTCATTTCTTGAGAGTAATGAACAGCAATCTATTTTCTACACCATTATTTTCCAAAAAAGAGTTGTCTGATTCTGCAAATAAAGTGAAGAAAGAAAAATGAATTGAATTTCAGTACAGATTCAAATACAAATAAGAGGTCCATTAAAATTCAATTTAAAAAAAAAGAAAATCACTCAAAAGTCCTTATATAGGAAAAATACCGATCCAAATTCCAATATAATATTACATTATAATTACCATAAGGGAGGTTGATGTACTGTGGTCTGTTTGGGAAAGTATTTGCTCTGTTTTCGTTTTACACTGTCATCATAGTTTTATTTAGAAAACTACTTTCTTGTTGCTTTTTAGAAATTATTGTGGAGAGAAGCTATTTTTTTCAACTTAACACATTAAAGTGTGGTGGCTGTCAGAAAGATGTTGTCAATTTTTTTTGTAAAATATATATATTTATAACTCTCATCGTAACTTTCTAAGAAGTTATTTCTCCCACCACAATTTCACAATCAACTTTTTAAGAAGTTGCAGTCCCCCCAAACAGACCCCCAGTATTCCATCAAATCCAAAAAAGTTTGTTTCCCTGGTTGAAAATTACTACAAGTATTAATCAATGGGATAATTTGGTTGATCAAGTGGAAGAATGCAAAAGTAAGTTCCTTAAGAGACAAGGAAATTTTGTTTTTAAAACAGTTAGTACGAACAATTTGATTTTGTTTTCAACATGTCAAATAATTATTTAAAATCAAAATATGAAAAAAATTAAAGAAAAATAAGAAATAAAAAACAAAGGTGACCCCAATCTTCCCCCAAGTTATCAGATAGAATACACAACTTTTCCTTTAATTGCCAGATTTCTAATAAAAGTTCAGCAAAATACACAAGATAAATAAAATCAAAGAGTGCTCACGTGATAAAACAAGCAATTATCAGCTCTTTTCATCCCCACCACAACAACTCCTCCATGAACAACTAAACTAGCTAAGCGTGAAATCAAAATTAGAAAAGCAGACCAAACTTCATTATATTTGGTGAAATCTTTATAGAACGATTTAAGAATCAGTTAAACTTCTCTTGATAACATGTCAGAACCTAATTAACCTAAACTTTTCAAATCCATCAAAATGACTTCTCATTAACTCAAAAAGAAAACAAATTTGTAACCGAACTGTATAATTTAGTCATCAGGATATATAATTCATTCAAAATTTCGACCGAAAACCAAGGAAAAAATCATCAATTCTCTGCAGATAACATCAATATAACAATAATATCACACACAAAGTGAAATTCTAAGCAGCGATCATCATACCGGGAAAAACCACAATTGAAAAGGGCTTTTCAACCCTATCGGCATCTCCAACTTCTACTTCTTAATTCACCCAACCCTAATCTCATCAAGATCTTTTCATTTTTCAAATTTTTTGGAAGAACAAGAACTCAATCTTCTCAATATTCTCCCACAAAACAAAGAATCCAAAAACAACAAAAAACACTTGAAATCAAACAAATTCCATCGGAAATCTAACTCACCAGAATCCAAAGTCCATCGGGAATCAAATTCGATAATCTGAGGAGACTAAAGGAAGACATACAGCGAAAGACAATAATGAAAGAAACATCTCTCTCTAATCTCCCGTCGGCGACTTATAGGCGCGAGATTAACAGACTAAACTATCTCCATTAGATGCTAATCTCGTCATTTGCTGGAAATAATGAACCGAGCTAGGTTAAAACGCGTCGTTGAAGAGGTTAGCGCCGGCGAAGTGGTCGGCCGATGGTAGCCGTCGGATATGTGGATCGAACGTCCATTACGGCATTTGGAAGTAGAAGAACGAGGCTTTGAAGCGGAAGCGGTAGGTTCGAGGGCTGCTGGCGCCAAGACGACAAATGTTCTTTTCGAATAAAATAGAGGTTATTTATATAAAACTTCTCCTATGTTGTAATTTATAATTAGTTTCGGCGCATTTAAATATATACCACCCATTTTCTGTGTATTTATATATCTAAATGGATCACACAATTCTTATGTATATGTTCAATCGAAGCCGAAAACGTGTCACCAGATAGAGCGCTATGAGAATTAATGCAAATACATAGAGGCTAATCGAGCCGGAAGAGAAAGATTGGTAGAGCGACCTACCAATGATCAACGTACACATAGTTAGACAGAATGAGAAGATGAAGATCGATCAAGCAACTAACTGAGGGTCAATCGACATAACCAGAGGTTGACCGGCTCTGAAACCGCTCAGATAGAGGAGCTGACCAGCAAGAAGATGAGCCACCAAATGCTCATCAATTGCAAGGCATGAAGTCGGTTGTTTGGGAGTCGACTTATTAAAGAGAGTTAGAGATGTAATTATCATTTAACAATAACACTAACTTACTATAAATAGAGGAGCATTAAATGTAATAGAGATTATTAAAATTATATATAAATACATAATCTTGCTTGAAGGACAAATCTCGGCTCAATAGTATCTACACATTTATCACCTAATTTTTCTTATTTACAAACATACCACTCAAATCCTCAAATATCTTCTTAAAAGTGAATTGTAAGTGAATATGTTAAATTTTGGGTGCTCAAAATGTAAATACAAATTAAAAAAAAACATTTTTTTTATTGCTGTCTACAAATTTAAGAAGCATCAATGTTAACGTAAATATATTTGCAAATATATATATATATATATATATATATATATATATAACACTGTCAAAAGATTAAAAAAAATTAACAGTTCAGCAAACAATAGATCACACATGTCAAAAGTGCCCAAAAGATTAAAAAAAAATTAACTGTTCGGCTTGTTAATGGTCGTTTTAAGATGTTAAAACAAATGGACAAAGTCAATTGCTGATACCATCCGATGAGCCTATTTAATTGTTAGATATAAAGTCAAAACTTGGATAGAGTTGACTGATTCGATGCCCGGTTGATCAGGTGGGCGAGTGCTTATATAAGGAATTTATTTATTGGGGCATTTACATACATACCACCCAATTCCAATGAATTTACATATGTATCACCTAAACTTCACTTTTTCTTGTTATAGCCTCCAAATATATCATATCACATTTTCATGCATAGATATGGAGTCATGTAAAAATTAAAAGTTATGTTTTAGATATGTAAATACATAATAATTGAGTGATATATAGGGATGTACACAAACCGAACACGAACGAACAGAGCTTGTGTTCGTGTTCGTGTTCCGTTTGTTTGTAATTACGTGTGTTTGAAATAGGCTCGTGTTTGAAATTTTTTGTGAAGTAAGTTAGTGTTCATGTTCGGTTTGATTTATTTGAAATATTTGAATTCTTCAAATTGTTCGAATTATTTAAATTGTTTGAATTGTTCAAAATCTTATATTTTTTTTTTATTTTTTGAATTGTTCGAAATCTTTCAAAAACTTAAATCTATATGAAATTAATGCTTAAACATATATGAATCACAACACAAATGCAAAATAGCTGAAGCACAGCTCACAATAAAACCATAATATCATATCTCATCCATAAAAAAAAATTCAGATTTAGAGGCAATATGCGAGATTTCACTCCCAAAAATTATGTTTCACTCGAAGAAATTAAATAAATCTAAAAGAAATATAAGAAAGGTTAATCTAAGAGACGAACCTGGTGATAAATACGAAATTATGTAATTTAATATAAGCTAAAAGACGAACATGAAGATCAGATTATAAGTTATAGTATTTAATTTCTTAAAATATGATAAATTTTTAGAGTATATAATTATTTTTAAAATATGAAAAAAAATTTATATATAATTATGTTAAATTATTTTATATTTCGAACAATAACAATTCGAACACGATCGAACAAATGATTGTTCATGTTTGGTTTTTTTATAAACCGAATCGAAAAAAAATTACTCGTGTTCGTGTTCGTCTAGTTTGCTTGTCGAACGAATCGAGCATGAACTCCCCGACGAGCCGAACACGAACTTTTTGCGAACAACAAGTGTTTTTGACAGCCCTAGTGGTATACACGTAAATCTTCGTTAAGTGATATAAATACTATTTGACCATTGTTATTGCTGGCTAAAAATGGCTGCTTTGGTCCTTTATTTAGGAGTAAAATTTATTCTAATCCCACTTTATTGTCAAAAGCTTTAGATACTTTAGTTCCTGTAAGCCTGTTTCTCATGTTTTTACATATCTACCACCTAACCTTCCATTTTTCTTTATATACTACTTTTAAAAATTAAAATATTAAATAGTTCTAAGCATAAAAAGCAAAATTTAGGTGCTAGATATGCAAATACATAGGAAGTGGGTGGTATACGTGTAAATACCCCTTGTTTTTCAAATAAAAACTAAGCGTAGAAGTCATGCACCCGCGATTTAACCCGTCAAAAAATATTAATTTAATTTAATATTGATGACAAGCAGCTTGAGAATGCACATATAAATTTCATTAAACTAAGCAGCCAATATAAAATGTTATATCTGCTCCAGCTTTTTATAACAGTTGAAATACCTTCTTATATGTTGAATACCTTTTCACTCATATTTTTCAAGCCTTCTCATTTTTTTTAACTGAATTTATTTCAAGATTATATATATATATATATATATATATATATATAAAGGAATGACCGAAGGCTATTATATGAGCCCTGATTATCCCTCATGCGCATAAGAATTCGAGTATCACACAAACTCATACTAGAAGGGTTACAACTGACAAGCAAATGCCCGACCAACTGATATGAGTACGCGGCACTTATTTTGAGCTAATTGAATCGTTCGATAATGTATCCAAATACCTCATTTTGAGCGTGCTTGCTTTGATTTCAAGCCAGATCAAGCTAGATTTCACTTTGAACCCAACTGACTCGAAATCAAATACAAGCCACAAGCCTATTTCGAGCCTCTTTGAGCAAATTTCGAGCAATCCCAATTCAGATTGGCAGACGTCTATAATACAAACAGTCAAAATCCATATTACTTACAACATGGAGAAAAATAAAGATAAATAATTCAATAATCCAATGGGAGATCCCACTCATCATCTCCATGAGGGAACTTTGGACTCCCAGAGCTTTGGCGGCTTCGCCTTCGATCTGCAAATGAACTTTTTCTTCTGAAATCATGTCTCCCTTCCAGGTGGTCTCCAGATCTGCCTATCTTTCCAGAATCCCAAATGCCCTGTGCAGGAATATGTTCAAACAAGCTTCAAAAACAAACCCTAAATAATGGTTCAAAAGTTCAACTTTTTATAAAGCAGATTTGCATACATTTCACTCAATTCTTATGTATTTACATATCTAACACCTAAACTTCCATTTTTACATGCATGTCATCTTAAATGATGATATTTTTGATGTGATATGAAAGATTTGCGTGATATAAATGTAAAAAAGCGATATTTCGGTGTTAGATATGTAAATACATAGGAATTGGGTGATATGTATGTAAATGCCCCTTTTTATAAATCTGGCCTCTTATACTAGCAGGATCTTGGCCAAAGAGGGGAATTCTCTATGATCCAAGGACTTCTTGTTTATTTTACATATATTTTAGGAACCCAAAGGATGCATGTTATAGAATGAGGGCCTATTTATAAATTTTACGAGTGCATTTCAACATTTTTTTATTGGGAACTTCCAATTAGCGCATGCGTTAGATGATCTAGATTACACTCCGCCATTGGAAAGGCTATCGAATGATTTCGTCTAGGGGCCCAAACCGATGGACTCACCTGAGTTAACAATCATTCATAAGAGGTGGACCGATGATAATCTAGTAGTAAGCGCCACTATGGATGTCGCAGGTCAACGGGCAAAATAAATTATTCCAAAACTTTTGACAATAAGACTAATGAAATTGATAGATCAAAATTTTGATGGTTGGATTTGCCAAAACAGTTCAGAAAATATTCATGGACCCAGTTTAAGCTTGCGAAAAGATGACAATATAACACAATCTTGATATTGAAATGTTCATCTCCACAAGTGAAATCCAACACCACATATGGCTCATGAATTTATACAATTCAGAAATTGCAGAAATTATGGGAAGATATTGATATCAAATTTGGGTAGCATAAAAATCACAATATAAAGTTAGCAGAGATTCAATGTATGTAGAGTGATCTTATCTCAATTCTGGTGCAAAGACAAGTTGATCATCATTAGGTTGGATGTTTTCTTCATGGGGCGTGGAGCGAAACTACTTAATAATAGAGTATAAACCATTAGTACAGATTGACTTGTGATGAAAGAAATAATTTTCAATAGGAGATATGAGAAGTTGTTAGAGCTATCAATGAAGGATTTTCCCAAAATTGGTCTAATGAATTCTTCTTTGTGAAGCAAGAATGTAGTATGTCAGACTTTAGGAACCAATGATCCCAATCAACAACAACAACAAGCCTTTTATCCCACTAAGTGGGATCGGCTACATGAATCTTTTTTCTCCACTGCTTCCTAATTTTTATACAATTTGCCCAGGTCATTTCAAGTCTACCTCTGCATCTCTTAACATAAGTCGAATCAAAAACACCTACTCTCCTAACAAGTTCATCCAATGGTCATCGTTTAATGTGACCAAATCATCTAAGACGACTCCATCAAATCCACCATCAAACCCATCACGGATATATTCATTTCGCATTTTGTCTCTAAGTGTCAAGCCACTCGTCCACCTAAGCATTCTCATCTCGGCAACACTTAATTTTGTTTTATGCTTCTCTTTTAAAGTCCAACATTTTTTGCCAGAGTATTGCAGGTCTCACCACAATCTTAAAAAATTTTCCTTTCAATCTAAGAAGTATATTTTTATCGCACAACATGCCCAATGCATTCCTCCACTTCAACCAACCAGCTTGAATTCAACTAATAGCATCCACATCTATGCACCATCACTTAAAACTATAGACCCGAGATATCCAGAACGATCACACCTTTTTAATAATTTGATCACTCATAGTTACAACTCTGTCACTAGAGTTACTACTACTAAAATTACATTCAAAGTATTTAGTTTTATTTCTACTCAAATGAAGACCTCTAGACTCCAATGTAGATCTCCATAATTCAAGTTTTACCTGAACTCTTTATCCAGTCTTACCCACAAGATAGATATCATCAACGAAAAGCTTACACCAAGGTTCATCCTCTTGTCAATGTCTATAAAAGCATCCATAACTAAAACAAAATAATATGGGCTTCAAGCCGATCTCTGATGTAATCCAATTGAAATATAAAATACTTGGTCAATCCTCAAAAAGATATGGGCTTAAAGCCGATCCCTAATGTAATCCAATTGAAATGGAAAATACTTGGTCAATCTTCCTTCTGTTCGAACACAAGTAACAACTCTAGTATACATATCTTTAATGACTTGAATATAAGTCATATCAACATCTTTCTTCTCTAGAACTTTCCAAATGAGTTCTCTTGGAACTTGATCATAAGTTTTGTTTTTCAAAATCAATAAAAATCATCGCAGATTCTCCTTATTCTCTATGTACTTCTCCATCAAACCTCTCAATAAATGTATAGCTTCCATAGTGGACCTACCCAACATAAATTAATTATGAGAATTTTGTATCACGTCTTGACTTATATTTAATTACCCTCTCATAATTTTAAAGTATGACACATCAACTTAATTCCTCTATGATTTGCACTCTTGTGCATCCTGTGCATCCCCTTTATTCTTAAAACTTAAAATGGGGACCAACATACTTTTCCTCCACTCCTCGTACATCTTTTTAGTTTTTAAAATAATATTAAAGATTTTAGTAAGCCAAGAAACTTTTAAATCTCTTAAATATTTCCACACTTTAATAGGGATATCATCAGGTCCTACTAATTTTCCACCCTTAATTTTTTTTTAAGCCTCCTCAACTTCTTTTTTACTATTGCAATGATAAAATAAAATATTTTATTATTATTAACATTATTAAGATCACTAAGGTAGAACATATTTTCAGAAACTTCATCAAAAAATTTATCAAAATAGCTCACCCAACTATGTTAAATATCTTCCCACCAAGAAAAATACCCAACTATGTTAAATATCTTCCCACCAAGAAAAAACACTTTTTTATTTTCATTTTTAATGCATTCAACTTGAATTAAATCTTTACTTTTCTTTTCTCATTGTTTGATTAGTTTATACATATATTTTTCACATTCTTTAGTATCTAATTTATTATAAAGATCAATAAAAGTAAAATTTTTAGCAGCACAAATTATTCTCTTAGATTCCCTACATACCAACTTAAATTTTTTCCATTTCTCTAAACTTTTACATTTAAACCAATTTTTATAACACAATTTTTTATATTTTATTTTTTCTTGCATATTTTAATTCCACCACTAACTGTATTTATTTATAAAAACTTTTCCTTTTGATTCTCCAAATATATCTTTTGTCACTCGTTTAATAGTGTTTGTTATTTTATCTCACATAGAATTTGTTTCTTCATGAACATCTCAACTCAAGAAATCTTGAAGTTTATTTATAAAAATCACTTTATTTGTGTTTTTTAGGTGGCCCCATCTAATTTTATGACAATGTTTCTATATATTATTTATTTTGCAACTCTTCATCTTGAAATCCAAAACAAATAATCGATGTTGAATACTTAAAATTTTACTTGGAATGATTTTACAAACTTTACACTCTCGATGATCCCAATAAATACAGATAAAAAAATATTTTCTTAATCTTTAATAGCATTAATAATAAAAGTGCCTAAAAAAGGGTGTGCTGAATTAGACACTTGAAAAGGAAGGCTATTCAAACCAGGCTAATATTTTCATGTTGTAGACAGATCTCACACACTTCCTGTCAGCCACCAATGTTCAATGCCCACCTTTTGACCTCTATTATAAAGCTAATGAACAAGCGGACAACCGACTGTAGCTCGACATCTAACATACCCAATTATTTGTCACCCCACACTCCCAATCAATCATCATCGATATCTAATGTTGCCTTCGAAATCATCAATCTCCACTCCAATAAGAAGAACTAAACAAATCATTGATCATCACATCACATCTGATATTCTCAATCGACTATCATTTGGTGACCACTAAGGCTTGATTATTGTCACTGTCAGCTACTGACATCTGAAATTCAACACCCGTATTTAACGATTAAATGGAATGTTGCATGGTTGCCAGTCTCCCCTCTCATAATAACGATTAAATGGAGTTTTGCATGGTTGCCAGTCTCCCCTCTTATAAGAACGATTGAACAGAGTTTTGCCCAATATCTGACATTCCTATCATTTGATCTTTTTTTCAGTGTGTAATGCTTCTCATCCATCAATGTTTGATGTATGCCTTTCTAGTCACCAATTTTTTCTCTTAGAAAAACTACAGACCATCAACTGGCATTCAACATTCTTACATTCATCAATATATGTTGGTCACCAACATTCACTTCATAAATTTTTGTATCCCCTCTTATAAAAAAAGCCATGCAAGATGCTGACATTTTAACGATGGATATCGCTCCAAGTGGTCTATCGTTTGATGTTAGCCAATGTTCATAAAGACCTAACATTCCACCAATTGTCTCGACAAATGGCATTTCGAATCAACTATCTTCTAATGCCAACCAATGACCACACATAATATCCATTAACTATTAGCATGTAACATCCATCTTCTAGATCACTTAAATCTCCTCTCTTACAAGAAAATGACCTAACAAACCATCAACCATTAGTTGACATCCAACATTCCTAATAAATCAATTTTTGACCCTTGGTGTTCTGAATCAACTTTATTAAATATTCATCATCCGCCAACACAATACCAGACTTCTAAGTGATATGGCCCCCATTCAATAAAGAAAACAATTGAGTAAACTACTACATGTCATCAAAATTTCAACATTCCTAATTGATTGTAATCTAATGCCTTGAAACATTTAATGTTTGTTAGCCATCAATATCCAGCGTTCGCCTTCTTGGTCATCAATCTTTTTTTCTAGAACAATCGAGCAGATCATTGACAGTCATCCAACATCACATGTTGCCAACTAAAAAATATCAAATGTCTGCCAATATTCAATGTCTATCAGTCAGTGACATCCAACTCTCACTTTCCTAGTCATTTCTACCCTTCTAGAAGAGGAATTGAGGAAACCATTGATTTTCGTTCAACCTCTCATCCAATAACGTCTAGGTCCATCTTCATATTCATTAGCCTCCTCTCTTCTACAAACAGACAATTGCCTAACATTTCTAATCAATCGCGAATGCATGATGTCTTTCGGCCAACAAAAACTAACAATTGTCTCCATGGTCACAATCTCCCCTCGTACAAGAGAACAATCAAGCAAGCCATTAACCATTGCCGGGCATCTAGCATTCCCAAACAATTATTGCTTGAAATTAGCCAATGACTAAGACCTTATGTTAGTCAACCATTAACATTTAACTCCCTTTTATCTGATCACTTGGTTCACTTGCCATAAAGAGAGTGATCGAGACAGTTATCAACATCATCTGATGATAAATTCGACAACTTAAAATGTCTCATTAGATCACCATAGAGGATTTGAAGTTAGCCAATGACTGATAACATTTAACTCCATTTTATCTAATCACTTGGTTCCCTTGCTATAACGAAAGTGATCAAGACAACCATCAACATCATCAGATGATAAATTTGACAATCAACATAAAAGATAACTTGTGCAACTCAGCATCTATTTTATTGTATTAATGTATTCTCTAAATATAGGGAAAGCAACACTCAACTTATGATAGTGGAATCTTTCCAACTGAAATTAGCTTCACTTTTTTTCCTAGTAAAATTTTCCACACAAAAAAAGTCTTCTATGAGCTGCTTTTAATTTATTTATAGAGAAAAATGTCAAAATGATCCACTAACTATTTGTAAGGGATCATTTTAGTTTCAGAATTTATAGTGTCAATTTAGTCCCTACACTCTTTTAATATGAGTTAAAAATAGTCCTTCGGGGGACTACTTTAGCCTCCATTAAAAGAGCCTATGAACTAATATGACAGTTTTATAGACTCTAGGATTAAAATGATCACATGTAAATAATCAAAGGACTATTCTGACAATTTACTCTTTATTTATATGTGTTGGATTTTCATTTAATAATAAGAAGACTATTCTGACACTTTACTCTTTATCTGTGTGTGGGGAATTTTTGTTTAATACAATAACAACAAAAAGCCATTTTCCCACTAAGTGGCATGAGCTACATGAATCCTTTTTCTTCATTGTGACATATTGAGTGTCATATTAAGATCATTTTTTATACAACACTGCCCAAATACTTTTAGGTCTACCTCTACCTATCTTAATATAAGTTGAATCTAAAGCATCTATTCTCTTAAATGGATCATAAGGTGATCGACATTCAATGTACCCAAACCATCCAAGATGACTATCTCTAATCTTGTTTATCATTGGAGCTACACCAACCATTTCACGGATACATTCGTTTCGCATTTTGTCTCCAAGTGTCAAACCACTCATCCTTCTAAGCATTCTCATCCCAACAACACTTAACTTGGTTTTATATTTCTCTTTTAAAGGCCAACATTATGCGTTATAAAACATTGCAGGTATCACCACCATCTTATAAAATTTTTCAAGTATAAACGGTAATTTTCTACCAGATAATTGTCCCGATGCATTACTCTACTTTGTTCAATGCGAAAATAAAAAATAATATCATTATGAATATTTCGGCACACAATAAATGTACATCAAATAATGTAACAAATTGATATTTTTATTGCCAACAAATGATTAGTGTACCTTTGTTAACCTTTGAATATGAGAAAAATCTTCTTCATACACAATGACCTTATCAGATTCGACATCAAGAACATCTTCAACTGATAACTGGTAGGTGCTCACCTAGTTGACATTGCCTAATAATTAGTCTTTGAAATTCAAACCATTTAAAACTCTGCAAGAATTCAAAGAAGCATCAGCTAATATAAGTACCAGACTCGATGGTATGATAGAAAAACCAAATGAGTCAAACTCAAGTGATTCGACAGCGCCGCTATTGATGCTGAAAGTGTAGCCACGAATCTGCAAGAAGATATTGCCATAGTAAAACAGAAACAATATCCTAAAATTCACTTTTATGCGTTTAGTGTTCAGTAGCACTCACCTTACCAATGCTGCGTCTACCATCCTTTACCACGTCATATCCTACCTACAAACATTACAAGATGAGCAATCCTTGAGTTGACCAATTATTGTATTTATAAAGGTAAAATAAAATTGAGTAGAGAAAGAAATAAGTAAAAAGAGCATAATGACACCAAACAAGAAAATATTTTTTAAATTAGGAAATTAATAGAGTGAGAACAAATAATCAGTAGCACTTCCCCTAACTCAGATATTCCGGGTCGTGTTAATGAGCATTTTCCGGATTCATTCTGTCAACTTTAATTTATATGAGGAAGATTTACATGCACACCACTAATTTCCTATATATTTACATATCTAACTTTAATTTTTACAAATCATACCACTTTACCTATGCATGGAAATATGTATTTCACTTTCTAAAAGTTAAAATGATGGTATTTTTATGTGATATGAAAGATTTAGGTGGTATAAATGTAATAAGCAAAGTTTCTGTGTTAGATATGTAAATATGTTAACTTTTGAGAAGTGAGCTAACTATTTTTATTGATAGGAAAATGAGTATAAATATACATTAAAAGACTCAAATGAAAGGAAAGAACAAATAAAAGGAAAGACATAAATTCAGAAATATGCCACATAGGAAATACATAAATATAGAAACGAAAACAAATAAAAGCTAATAATAACTGCAGTGAAAATAATAATTCTAATACTCCCCCTCAAGTTGAAATATAAATGTTCCATGTTCAACTTAGATTTGAAGTAATCAAACAACATCCGAGGAAAATTCTCGGTAAAGATATCAATTAATTGACCACTGAATGAGATAAATGAAACACAAATCTCCACTGAATCTAGTTTCTCCTTGATGAAATGCACATCAATCTCTACAAGTTTAGTGCAATCATGCTGGACTGGATTATGAGCAATGCTAATGGTGGCTTTATTATCACAGAACACTTGTAGAGTAGCAGAGACCGACATACGTAATTCACAAAGCATGATACATAACTAGAGAGTTTCACAGATATCCAATGGCTTGGAGCAAAACTCAACTACAACACTGCTCTAGGTCACAATCGACTGCTTTTTCGTTTTTCCATGTAACAAGATTTTCTCATACAAATGAGCAATATTTGAGATAGATCGCTGCTCATGGACGGACCCAACCCAATTATTGTTGGTATAAACAACAATAAAAAGGGAGGTGTGACGAGATAAACAAACCTGGGTCCGGTGTGCTTTTTGAGTACTGAAAGATCCCGTAGACAGCTTGGATATGGTGCTCATAGGGATCATACATGAATTGACTCACGAAACTGTCAGGATGAGTATGGACAAAGATAAATGAGTTGCCCCACAATATGTTGGCAGTGAGTTTCGTTCAACGGAATAGCATTGGGAACGTTAAATAATTTCTCATTAAGATCCATTGGGACAGCTGATGGTTTGCAAAGAATAATGTTATTCTCTAAACAATAGGTCAAGCGCATATTTGAGTTGAAACAAGCAAATGCCCCGAGATGACCTAACAACTTCCATGCCTAAGAAGTATCGGAGCGACCTCAAGTCATTCATTTCAAAACAAGTAACAAGAATATCTTTCAGGGACTCCAATGTTAGTAGATCATCACCTGTGAGCACACTATGATCGACATAGACGATAAGGATAGCAATTTGGCCACTGGAAGAATGTTGAAAGAAGAAAGTACTATTTCATGATCCAATACCATTTTATGAACTGTCGAACCAGATCCTTGGAGATTGCTTAAGTCCGTAAAGGAACTTCCGCAGTCGATTGTTGACCTCATTTTTGGTGAGGTCTAGTCTTCCTCTTAGGGTTTAGGATCTAGCCTTATGGGTCTCCCTTTGACCATCTTAGAATCTTAGAAATGGAACCCGCCTCGTTCTAGAAATTCAACCTACTTCTGTCCCCTTCTGAGCCTTAGGGTGGCCTTTTGCACAATTCGCACTCCCGCGAGCACAAACTTCACAATTCGGAGAGTCGACGCGTCCGATCACGTCAATTCGCATCGCTTGCACCGTTACCTGTCGAAGACTCGAGTAAACTTTTTGAAACAATCGATCGCGAGTCGAAATTTTATGAAATTTGAATTTTGACGCGTTTTTGACCCGATTGTCGACGACGAAATCCGAGCGATCCCGGATGACAAAATGGACTGCACCGGCGCGTCCGGAACGTCGATTTTGCCTTAGGAGGACACCCATTTTGCTTGGACACTCATTTTGTTACGTCGCCGCGCGCAAGTAAATCACATATAATTTAATATATATATATTAATTAACTCTTTTTTACCCCTTCCCCCTTTCTTCTTTAATTCCTAACTCCCCTAACGCACGCACCCGAGCTCTGTTTCTAAACCTTTTTTTTTACTCCCTTTCCTCTTTAAACACTAAATCCTTAACGCACGCACCCGAGCTCTGCCTCCTTTCGCTCTCCCGTTCGCGTGTCTGGCCCTTTCCCTTTCTCGGTCTCGAGCCAATCGAGCTCCTCCTCCTCCACGCGAGAGAAAGTTGACTTCTTATTTGTCCTTGCCCGACACTCTCTGCCCCCGGCCTTCCTTCCCGAAGCCCTGCCCGTTGCCAGTCTCCCTGAGCTGTGGTTTTCCTTTTCTTGGTAGTTTGACTCTGGGAAGCTTGTTCCCTGCTACACTTGATGGCAAATCTTCTCTTCTTCCCGATGGTTCCCTCGCTGCCACTATGCTTGCCGCTCGGTCCGAGATGCTTCGGTGGCTTGGCCCTCTGCGAGCAGGGAGCACGTCCCTTTTCTTCTTTGGCCCGATTCAAGTGTCGTGGACTGTTGGGGGTGGTCTTCTTTCTCTTCTCCTCTATTCTCTGCCTATAAACACAGTTTCTTTTGAGATTTTTGGGGTGGATGAAGAAAAGTTTGCAAGAAAGGGGAGTAAAAAAATTTCGGCTGCGAGAAGATTGGAAAGGGAATTTCTGTGAGAGCACTTCTTTAAGGTGAATTCTTGTGTTGCAATGTTTTACTTTGGCATTATAGAGGTACTCTTCGTCCCCCCTTTTTCTCAGTGCCTTGTTGTCTTTCGGTTTTCCCTTTGCCGAGCCTTGAGTATAGTTCTGTTGGGTGATACAGCATGCTAGTTCTCTTACTTTCATGTTAAAGATGAAATGTGAGTATGTTTTAGGAAGTTAGACTTGGATATTTGCTTAAAGTGGTGGAGATATGACATGTTCTTTGTTTATCCTATCATATTTATGTTGGTAGCGATTTGGATAATTGAAATATGGTCTTGAAATAATTCTAGCTCTTCTTGCAAGCATGTTGGGATATGAATTATGAGGCTTTTCATTTCTTTTTTTTATGAGATATGGGAGAGGTCATTTGGCCTTTCATGCATGTTGGGGTTTCGGCTTTGACATATTATGGCTTACTCTCACTTAAAATGAAGGTTGGGGAGTGTATTTTACTGTTTTACGCATGTTTGGAGGCTCGGTTTCGGCTTCCTGTTGCTTTCCCTGGCTCGAAATGTATGCTACGAGAGAACTTATTTAATTTGAAAAATGTTGTAGCTTGTTTTGAGGGCTTGACTTAGCCCCTCGTGATGCCTCACCCTTGTTCAAATATTTGTTGGAATAATTTCATACTTGGGATGTTTAGACATGCAGGTGGTTCCTTGGGCTTGAAATGGCTAGATCTTTAATGTTATATGGCTCAGTTTTAGTCCCTCTCGGTTTTGGCTTTTGGTTCCTGTTGAGTTCGGTTTTGGCTTTTGGTTCCTGTTGAGCTCGATTTTGGCTTGATTTAGAGTCACGGTTTTTGGCTTTGAATGACTCGGTTTTTGGCTTTGAATGGCTCGGTTTTGGGCTTTTGTTGGTGCTCGATTTTTCATTTCAGGAGTATGGGATGTTGACTTTTGTGGAGACTTGAGTCTTGACTTTTACTGAGATGTTGAAGCTCTTTTCCTAGCTTTAAGAGCTCGTGTTTTAGCCCTGCTGCACCTTGTTTGGCCTTTGTTGGACTTGGTTTGGCTCTAAAGTGGGGGTTGTGGTTGCTTGTTTTAGCCTTGCTGGGCTCGATTTTGGCTTCTGGTTCTTGTTGAGCTCGGGTTGGCTTTGGTTGAGGGTTGTGTTTGCTTTGTTTGGCCTCTGCTAAGCTGGGTTTTGGCATCCCACCGGTGTCTTAGCTCAAATATACGTGTGGTGGATGGATTCATGTTGGTTTGGAAAAACTCTGTAGTTGTTCTTGTGTACGACATGTGTTGGTTCTATATTTTGATGTCTCAGGGGTATAAAAAAAATGTTTTCTACTATTTTGTTGTAACCCGAACTCGAACCTTAGCGGTGGTTCAGCCTTGGCTTGACTTGAGAGCTCAGATTGTTTTGCCTTACCCTTACCCGAGAAGTGGTTGGCTGGCCTTGGTTCCTATCCTTACCCGTGAGACCCATTGGAGTTTCTTGAGCCTAACTCCTCCCCTCTTGTTGAGTTTGAATCACTTGAATGATTATAGATGGATCGAATTTGTTACTTTGAGATATCGGTGATGTTGTGTGCTCTCCTATGTGTATCAAAACTTGTAGGGATTTGATTCGGGTTCACCCTAGCCGTGAGCCTCACTTGTTGTTTCTCGGGTTTACCTCAGTTGTGAGCCTCCCCTTTTGGTCCTTACCCGCGAGGCCTATTGTAGGTCATTGGATGTGATTTGGTTTTCCTTGCTAGGCTTGAATTGGCTTGAGTGTTGTGGATGAATCAAGTTTGTCATCCAAAAAAAAAATATAATTACTTTGGTTATCCTTTCGTGTTTGTCAGGGAAGCATAGTAGTCATTGGTAGTTCTTTTGGTCACCTTGGGCCGTGAGCCTTTATGATTACCTCCCTTGTGGGTTTAGTCATTGGTAGTTCTTTTGGTCACCTTGGGCCGTGAGCCTTTATGATTACCTCCCTTGTGGGTTTAGTCATTGGTAGTTCTTTTGGTCACCTTGGGCCGTGAGCCTTAGTGATTACCTCCCTTGTGGGTTGCTTTGGCCGAGAGCTATAAATGTTGTTTCCTCTTCTCTGCTGACCCTGGCCGTGAGCATC